CGTTATTTTCGGGGACGTAACAAAAATTGATGACGATCTGACCGCAATTCTGCGGAGACCAAAATTGGTTACGATCTGACCGTTTTTCTGCGGAGACAAAAAATGATGACAATCTGACCGTACTTCTGCGGAGACTAAACTTGCATAAGATCTGACCGTAGTTCTGCGGAGATGAAACCTTAATTGCGATCTGACCCCCCAAAATCTCCCGAAGCCCCCAACAAATCCCAACAAGGGTGGCCAGCAACCAGGCCCCCTTCGGTGTGCTCAAATCGGTGCCTTTCGCACGTGCGTTCAAGCCATTTCAAGCCATCCCAACTTGACATTGCCGAAAACCTGATCTCTCCTACCCTTGAAATTCCCCCCCCCCGCCAAAAAAAATCCTCGCTGACACGACACAATTTGGCACCCTCGCTGAGGGTGCCCAATGTGCTGCCCCGCACGGCCCCGCTAGGTTTGGGCCTATTTGAGAATCACACACAGATGATGCAACGCTGAAACTAAAACCGGTTTGCACCTGTGGTTGAGAGTCACACAGATGATGCAACTAGGTTTGCACCTGTGGTTGAGAGTCACACACAGATGATGCAACGCTGAAACCCCGCTAGGTTTGCACCAGGAAGCGGCGGGGAGCTGTCCCTGGCTCTCACAAAATGGCAGTAATTCGCGCGGAAGATGCGGCAGCTCTCACAGCCCCTCCCCCGCAGCCCGTAACCTGGGGACCCAAGACCTTCATATTTAAGGTCCTGGCAAGGACCCCAAAATTCCAGGAACCATCTCTTGTTTCGGACAGTCCTACCTAGGGCCAAAGACCCGTGCGCAAAGAACGCCCATTGGGACAGTTGGTAACTATTCGGAATTTGCAGGCATCCGCCCCTGCATTTCTCGTGACTAGGTCTCAGTCTTCGCGGGTTACATACATTTTAAATATCATACACGGAACGTGTGTTCCATATGCATGTTGATGCGCGGCCTTCCATGATAAAATAGTATTGCATACAAATTACACATACGCGTATGCATTTCAATGTATATATAAATAGAGAGATTCTTAACCAGCAAGCAAACAAATAGCGATAACGTGAGTCCAGTTGCGTTGCAAATGTTGCGCCACATGGCCTCTTTGCCGCCGAGTGCACCCGAATCAAAATCCAAACTTAGGCAAGCTCTGCTAATGTATAGTTGTAGCTCGCACAACTGCAAAGGATCAACCAGCCGAAAACCATAAAACAAATCTATGGCCACAAAACACATCACCATGTTAGTTGAAATGTTGCGGCACAGACTTGAGCGACATTCATACATTCATCGCGCCCCTCGTGTAAAGCAAAAAACCCACCATACCACGACGCCCACAAAAACCAAATCAGTTGTCCGGACCTCAACTGTAGGTGCAAGCGTGATTGAAGAGTCAACCACGGAAGTTGCCTGACAAGTCGCGGACTAATAAGCTGCCGAACACATTGAATTGGGATAAGTCCCAAACGTTTTTGACATAACCCTTTAGGCACATCCATCGTGAGAACATAGTCAAGTAGCTGTTTGTGGGAGTGTCATAAGCTCGAACCGGTTTGAGTGGCTAAGCTCTAGGACGGAACATGCTCAAGGCTCTCGATGGATAAGAATACGGAGGAATCACGCTTCCAACGCCTATCGATCTGAGACAGACGAGGTAGGAAAGTTGTCACCTTGGTTGAAAGTACACACTTGCTTTCGGGAAGAGTCTACTTGTTACTTTGCTTTAGTTTGTCTTGGCAAAGCAAAAACTATCTAACGCGATGAAGCATGTGTTTTTGAAGCAGAGCCAAAAACGGCAAGTGCGATAGCGACCCTGACTAACACATGTATAATAATGACCCGTATTATGGCTCGCCCCTGGGCGTGATCCCCAATTTGACCATTGAAAACGTCTTTCAAAGGCATGGATAAAGCGACCGTTGAGAATCGTGAGGGACAGAGAACTCTAACAACGTGGAAAAAGCAACCAGTAAGAACCGTGACGGACAGAGACTTTCAAAGACATGGAACACGCGACCGTTGATAACCGTGACGGACAGAGAACTTTAACGACGTGGCAAAAGCAACCAGTTATGTGTGCAATGTAATGCAATGTAATGTATTTGTAAGGTAAGATAAGGTAAGCTAATGTGATGTGCTGTAGTGGAGTGTATATATGCATATATGCGTGTAGGTATGTAATGAATGTATGTATGTATGTATGTAGGTATGTAGGTATGTAGGTGTGTAGGTATGTAGGTATGCATGTATGTGTGTAACCTAACGCAATGTAATGTAATGCAATGTGGTGCTTAGCTTGTGCGAAATTGGCGGACACGACATGGATGGATTGACATGCTGGTTAAGTGTCGAAGGCGTTTAGATTCCAGAAGGTTTAGGAGACTCCGCTACGGTTCTTACTGGTCGCTTTTTCCACGTCGTTAAAGTTCTCTGTCCGTCACGGTTATCAACGGTCGCGTGTTCCATGTCTTTGAAAGTCTCT